TTTTAATGGATAGATTTCAATTTGTCATCTGTTACACTATTATATTCCCGTCCATCCAGATGCTCTTCAAAGAACTGGAACCCACAAAATTGCATTATCCTGGACCGATGAGGAAATTTTCCCATAGTTAGTGTATTTCAATACAAAACTTAAATATTAATGCCTCTTACATTGTGTGCAGCATGTGTTCCTCCAAATATGGAGCCAGAGTGCACCTGGCTCCTTTGTGGGTCCACTACTGAAGTAGAGGACATGAAGGTCCTTCCCTTTCCCTCTCATCCCATGCTTCCTGCACAGGGGTAGGACACAATCACAGTAGTGCAAGGACTATCTGCTCTAGTGTCTGTAAAGAGCCCACAGCCCTAGTCCTCTCTCCTCTACAGTTGTGTAGCAGAACTGGCATCCATGGGATCAGATTGGCCAAATGCAGTGGATCTCACTGCTCTTGGCCTCCCCTTAGTATTAACAGCATGACTGGCACTGTTACCACATTGGTCATTCCCTACTTCCAGTACCCCACTAGCAGCTAAAGATGGGTAAATAATGAAAACAATGATGCTTGAAAGTGTTCATCAAATTCTTATCAACTCATGAACTAGTCACCCAGTTCTATTTGCAGGACGAATAATAGAGATGGGCAGAATCAACAAATAATGTACTAAGAAAATATTGTGGAAAACAACTGACTAAACATTAACATTATCTTACCAGCTCTGCTGACAATGCAATTGTGACCCTTCTCATGTGTGTCGCAAAGTGAATAGCGGCAGTTACCACTACCCACACTGGAACCAGACGAGTAATACATGCTGCCAACACCAGTACCACCTGCGTCTTTTTCACCACCAGTTGTGCCCTTTTCACAGGGAAACACCAAGCACAAGTGTGACTGTTCTCCAACTACTTCATGCAGGCTCTAATCCCTTGTAATTTTGTTTTGGGGCTCTGCTGTTTTATGTTTGCTGCGGGGATGAGGTTAGTCACGTGATGTGGACTTTCTGCATAGTCACATATTTATCCTATGTTATCCTCCCTGGCCCTTCTCTTTGGGTTTAAGACATCTGCTCCCTAAACAGAAGGGAACATTTGGCTCTAATTCTCTGAAATAATTATTCAGATCTCCTGGGGAAAGACTCCAGAAGGAGGAGGAGTACATGTGAAGTTAATTATGTCTTTTTATATAGGCTTAGAGTGCAGTCATTAATAGGTTACTGTTGTCAGTGTTTCAGAACATAAGTCCAAATTTGGGTTCCAGATGAATTTTATTTAGTCACAAAGCACTGATTATTCTGTGTATTTATGATCTATTATATTTCTGCATCCTGCCCCCAACCCCTTCCCATCTTAAAACAGTGTTCATCACCTGGCTAGTTCCTCTGTTTCCTCTGACCATCTGGTAGAAGGCATTGGTGCAGTGAATACTCACTCATCTGTTCCTTGAAGTGCTTAAAGTCTACCAGCCCAGGAGAAAGAAACCAAAGCCCTGTACTCTTGTCCTTCATGCCACTGCACACAGGGCTGTAGCCAAGCCACCTCTCCAGAAACAATTTGTCCAATTTTTGCCCTCTGCAGCTTTCTCTCTCTCTACCTTCCCCACTACCCACCCTATCAGTTAGCCAGTTCAGCAGTTACTCTCCATCTTGACAGAATTCTCTTGTTCTCATGTTCCCAATGAGAATCCTTGCTTCTCATTCAACGTACAGCGCAAGTGTGTATTGGTTTTGTTCCTCTTCCAACACTAGTAATATGGACATGAAGAGTGTGTTTGTCAGTCAATAAAATGTTAGTATCCAAACTACTTGAATGTAAAACTCTTAGAATATACTTATAGAACTGGTGAATAGCAGAACTCCACTTGAGAGTTTCAATCCTTTGTAATTGACTCACAAATCAGCATTAATTGAGCCTGGGATTTAACAGTCTCTCTCTCTCTCTCTCTCGCTCTCTCTCTTTTTTTTTTTTTTTAATGTAATAGGCACTCACCAAAAGTGGTGAAAGCAGCATCTCAGGTCCTAAATAGCATGTGGCAGTACAGAGACCTGAGAAGTCTCTACAAGAAGGTAAGATTTTCTTCAGATTGTAGATCTTCTGTACAGTTTACCCACTTTGGGGGCTGAAGGAACATGAGACCAAAATACTTTCTTTGATCGGTTAGTGGGCCCATCTGAATCCCAACTGCCCAAAGTTTAGGAGGTTCAGATCTGGTGTTTTTGCATGTTCCCGTGTCTAATTTTAATTCCTTAAATAGAAATGGTCCATAAAGCATGTATTTTTTTTTGTTATTGTTTGGGGGAGGTTTTTTTTTTCTTAAATGAATTTTAGTTCTTATGAAAAGTGCTGGAGTTGACAGTCCTGGAGAGTGAAGTCCTCTGTTCACAGAACCAGTACAGCATGGTCAGCAGTGGTGCAAGCTGCCTCTCCTCAGCCTTTCCTATCAGTGCATCTCAATCCTATCCTGCAGAGACAACCATAGGGGTGAGTGTGAGATTCCCAGCTCCTTCAATTCCTGGCCTCTCTGCTGAGACCACCAATGCCAGTTCCTTCAGTGGTGATGCTTTTATGATATGGACATTGGTACCCCTGGAACTGGATAGAGACCTGTTTATTTCACATCCATCAAATCGACAGCTTTCATGCACTAGCAACACAAGCTTGATTCAGAGGCAGTCTAGAGGTGAAAGGCAGTGGCTCCCATTATCATTCTCATAAGGCTGCCTGCCTCCTCTTTTGTGTAAATTATAGTACTATTACTACGAACAACATGTTTAAAATTAACTATTTAAAAATGAACTTCTTACATGTATAAATGATAGGTGATGGTATAACAAGCTCCTATCACAGAATACTTGTAAAAGGAGACACATTGAAGTGTGTGTGTAAATGTGGTGTGTGTACACATATCTATCAATGGCAGTCTCAGACCACTTCCTAGTACTCACGATTTCACATCACAAAGATTACCACCACAGTTGCCTCTAATTGGCACCTATCTTTGTAGTCTAATAGCAAAAAGACCAGGCATTTAATTCCATTCCCAGTCGAGGGTGAGGCATATTAATGGTGGAGTGTGAGGATGCTCACAGTGCCATTGCCTGTGCTGTATGTATTGTATAGCTGAAAAGAGTTGAGTAACGTGAACTCTGTGCCTCAATCTGCTCACATTGAGTCTGGGGTTTGAAATTTTATTCTTTTGCACACCTGAGCTCCTGTTTGAGAAAGTTTGGCAAACAGGCCTTGTTTGAGAGGCAGGTGTGAACAGCAGTGAGGATAGGGTCCCGCTGAGAAGACAGCACATCTGGGATGTGGGGATGAACTGATTCTCTGCATGGTGTGGAGAGATACCCCTTTGCGGGTAAAGTTTGTTGTGCTTACAGGGGCTGACTAGTTTCTTAACCTTTGAACTATTTTGCAGGATTCATTTTGTTAATCCCTTCATGAGCTAACTCTGGCAGGGTAAAATGGAGGTCAGTCTCCCAGGCAGTTAATCTAATACCTTTCCCAAGCACTAAGCTAATTTAACAAAATAATTATTTAGTCTTCTTATGTCTCTACAACCTGCTACCATACATTGTATAATAATTTAGTACAGAAAATGTTCAAATGCTTCTAAGAATTAACTTAACTAAAAATGTTACTGTGCATAAACAGACAGGTATGTATTTTTTCATGTTTATAAAGTTAGTACACAATATAAGGAATGATTTTTATGTAGAATGAATCAAGAAAAAGACTTTGCAAAAGGAGCTACTTCCTTTGCTTCCTTCACATTAGTACATTGAATACTTAGCTGTATCCTAGGATTGATGCCTATGGCATTTTCTTTTTTTTAAAATGTTTAAAAAAAAGTTATATAAAACAAGAGAGTTCCTAAGATCTCTATTACATAAGCAATAATATTTGTCATGCAATATGGGTTTAAATAGTCAAGACAATTATTTTCTCCCACTAACGCTTCTGTATTGGCAATAATGAATGAATACAGCTTCTGCTGCCTGTGCGATATGGTCAGCACTTTGTGCTTTCACACTCTGGCAGGGATTTTTCTCACACTGCAGCTAAATCCAATTGTGCAGGTGTCTGAAATTCATTAGTATGCCCTAAAAATATCTATCTCATTATTCCCAAGTAATCACTAGCATATAAGAGAGGCTGGAATAGAAGCATGATTCTGTTTTATGACTTGGGTCAGTTACAAGCCTAACATTAACTTTAAGGAAATGCAGCAGTATTTGTCCTGCTGCTTGAGGGATAGTATATCCAAAGTTTGATATAGTTTTACAGCAGCATATGTTGACACTGTACTAAACAGAGGAAAGAATGATATGAATAGAAGTATTATCATTTGCATTACTGAAGTAACTAGAATATTGATTTGTCACTGTTGTTGGTATAAAAGTAGCCAATACATTTGTCCCACAGATTTGTTCATGTCAGGGGAAAAACATGAAAGCTTATTACATTTTTGTAATTCTGCTTAGCACTATAGGCTTTATTCACTGTGTCTGGCAAAACCCAAACTGAAAGTGCCCAGTGACAGAAAATCCAGCCAGAGGTGGGGAGCATAATGTTACAAGCTGCCTATAACTTCCACTCTGTTGGGGGGCCAGGAGCCAGCCAGTGCTACCCAAGAAGTGTGTAGGGCTGGCTCAGGAAAGTGCACAGCAAGGGCATGCAGATGTACTGATCCAGTGTCTCTCTCAGGCAGCCTCTGCCAGTGAAGCCGCTAGACTCCTGGCTGTAAACTGAAGCTCCTTCCAGCTAGTGGAAGCCTGATATTGTCACTTGCCCTTTGCAGCGGTGCATGCCTCCTCCATAGCACAGCTGTTCTAATATATGTGGGGGGATGTAGACTGCAGCCTCCAACAGGGCTGAAGCAAGCACTTTGATTTTAACCAAGGCTATCGTACTAATAGGTACACAGTGAAACCGGGTTAAGCAACCTCTCAAGGGACTGGCAAAAATCAGTTTCAGAAATGAGGGGTCTTCTAATAAAAGTACAGCAGAATTGTACTCTGTATGTTTGGGGTGTTCTCTTAAGCTAGGAGGTTGCCTGAAAAGGGTGGCTGTTTGCACAAGTTTCACTTCGTTTCTCGTTGACTGAAAAACATTTCCTGTCTTTAGAGGCCAAAAACAATTTCTCAATTATTGTTTGAAAAACCCACACTGATTAAATCAACACAGACAAAGGCACTTCATCCAGGCTATAAGGCATTTTTCTGAGAACAGAAGTAAAAACATTCCAGGAGAAGGAAGGGGTGGGACAAAGAGAATTATTTAGGGGTAAAATAAGCCACACTAGAGACGGGGGAAAGAGCACTTCTCAGTGAGAGAAGGCAAGGATGTTCATGCATACACAGACCCAGACTGCAACCTGTTCATGTCATTTCTTGAGGCTTTGCAGAAAAGGTAATCTAGCCCATGGGCTGTGTATCCCCAATGAGTGCAATGGAGCTCAGACAGCTAGCACCTCATTTGTATGAGCTCTCCTTCCCATTAGCTTCTTCACAAGGGCCTGATTCAGTGCACATTGACATCAATGGAAAATACGTATTGAGTTTAATGGGCCCTTGGATGAGGCCTCAAGGCAGGATTTTTTCTTTCTGGCCTTTACTGTGGATTAGGCCAGTCTGTAGCAGAACTGGCATCTGAGGACTCTTTGGGGGCATTTAATGTCTGGAAAGCTGGGGATGTCTTTTGCTGGATCAGGCCCATAATACTAACGTATTAGTGTTAATATAGGAAGAGCTTCACCTTGCTTGGAATTGTCTGGATTTTCTTCTCAAATAGCCTTTGGTTGTTTAAACAGAATGCTAAGATAGCGAACCTGGTTGGCTCAGAGGGTGGGTAGAGAGAAATTGAGCCTCTCAGTTCAAGATGGGAGATGGTTCTCTGTTGACCTGGGCTAGATTTCAAACTTGTCACAACCTGGCAGTGGTTTGATTTTCTATGGGAAGTTAATTGATGGTCTCAGGCTATAAAACCCTCTCACATTCATTACTGTCACTATTTGGCATCTCGGTGGATGGGGTACTGTGTTGTGGGAAATAAAACCAGGTGTGCACACGTTATACTAGCTTGTGCACGGCACTAGCAGAGCTCTGTAACAGTCTGTGCACTACACTGACTGATTCTAACCGCTGTGCTGGCTTCTCCACTCAACAGCAGCTGTATGGTAACTTTAAAGGGACACACCAGAATGGTTAGCAGGCTTATCAGGACAGCCCAGAATGGAAAAGGTACAAAGAGTCAATTTCAAGTCAGAGTTCAGACACATGGCTGGGATGCACTGTTGCCTCCCTTGATGCACTTGTAGGACTTCACTCTCCAGGGTAGTTAATCCAGCACTATATTAACAAAGCCTGACAAGAACATTTTATCCAAAATTCTCTCCAGCTCTTACAATTCAAAAAAGAGGAAGCCATTAAAACCAAGATGAAATGATGATCTTAGTCTTGGGGTTAAAGGGTTACCTTCCTCAATGCCCTGTGTGAGAGTTCTATTCTCCCTAACATCAACAGGCAACTGCTACTGTTCTACAAAAAGCTACTACTGGGCTGTTTTGCTCCAGTTGCCTGATTCTCAGCTTCTCCTGTTGTCTCTGAATTTGATAGTTCTTTAGAAAACGGGAGACAGACCAAGCCATCAGCTGTCAACACAACAAGGGAAAGGGGGAGTGATGCAGAAAGATTAAAATTGTGCTGTCTTTCCTAAAGAACTTTCTGTAGGGCTCCAGTTTCTACCAGAAAGATTAATTCTCTTCTGGTCCTGCCACCCATAACCCTTTCGTTTCCTCCTTGGGAAAACCACCTGAAAAAGAACTTGCACCAAGACAGGGTGCCGTAGGAAAGTTCCAAGGAAACAAAGTCTAAGTAACCCAGCAGAGTGACTGACTCAGATAGAATCCCAGACTGAAAAGTATACTTAAAGATGAGGCCAGCACTAGTTAATCCCATAGAAAAGATGTTTTCAGGGATCACATTTTTATTAACTAAAGATTAATTAAATTCTCACTGTAGTTGACCATCACTGGAGAAAACATTTCTCCTAAAATAACTCCAAA